CGTCCTCGAAGGGGAGGGCCCGGAACCGGCGGCGATGTCCCTCTGGCGTGCTGCCAAGTCGGTCCAGGATGGCCTTCCTCAGATGCCGGTACACATGCCGAGAGGCTGCTGGCAGGCTGTGGGCGGCTAGCTGCGCACTCCCAGATAGCAGAGGCAATAGCCGCGCTGCCCACTCCTCCTCCGGCCACCCGCACGCCGCCGCTGTGCCCTCAAATATGTCCAGGTATGCCTCCGGATCATCCTCTGCCGTCAATTTCTGGAGGGCAATTGAAGGCGGTCGGGCCGGGTTGGTAGCGGGATCGGACTCCCGCGCGGCCGGACGCTGCAGCAGCTCCCGGAGGAGAGCCCGGTCCTCGCGCTGGCTCGAGGTGATCCCGAGCAGAGCCTCGCTCTGCTGTCGCTGTAATGCTGTGGCGGTCTCCTGCATGTGAGCGAGACGTTGGAGGGCCTGACCCAGCGGGGTTTCTCCTTCCGACATCAGGTCCCTGTTCAGGCGCCACTGTGAGCCTCTCCGCTCACACAGGGTTCAAATAGGGACGGAAAGAGCAGGTTGGTTGACCACAGGCGTTTATTAACTCCAAACAAAAATATGCGCGGGTCTCAAACGTTGCCCGGGTGGGAAACTTCACAGGTCCTTTGGCGACCTTCCAGGATCCCGCCTACTGCATAACAGAACAGAACCAGGTTACGACATGCTTTTCTTCCCGCACTGATTACCTGATTCCGATCAGCTGTCTGGCCTCCGGCCGAGCCACTCCCTTCACTCCAGCAGCCAGCGCCCAAACCACACCCCGCTGCCACAACTAACAATGTTAAATGTTGAACACTGTCTTCGTCTCTTTTATCCTGCATTACATGTGCCCCTCTCATACACTGAAACAACTGCAATGTTGACTAATGAAATGTGTTATGCTAACAAAATATACATAACTGTATTAGGTAAGGTGAAAGCAATAACATTAAGTTGAACCTAATATATTTTATCTAAACTTAATATTATTTTGCTCAACTAACCTATTACCAAGTTGTTTTATACATAAGAAGAATTTGCTTTGGCATAAATGGTGCATACAGAGACACAGAAAGAAGAATATATGCAAAAATACCACGATTAAAGCTATTTAAAAAAACTACTCGAAGGCTATTGTGACAAATAAAAAAGAATGACCATATTTACACAAAATATGATTTTGTGAGTGACTGAGTACAGTCAAATATAATAAAATATGACAAATACTATATTCAAGGAGAGCTGTGCAGATTTCAAAATAGGTAGTGTGGAAGCAGAAATGTGCCAAATGTTGTGCAGGATTTGACAATATTATGTGTGAATTGCCTCCTTTGGAACGGGGTCTTTGCCCCCAATCAGCTGTTGCTCTGATAGTTGTATTCACCTAACAGAGACACAGAGGGAAACGCTGCAGGAGGAGAGCTCCAGCATCATTCAAGGAAACAGCCTTTTCTTCCATAAGCAGGTTCTCCACCTCTCCACACAGAGCGCGGTGGAAGGAGGGCGTCTGGCCAGATGGGCACCCAGAACAAATACAGCCGTGTTAATCTCTACTTGCCTTTCTGCCCCTGAGGCGAGTGTGTGTGACAGCTGTGTGTTTGTACGAGGCGTATTGATGGTTTGACCTCTCGACTTGATACACTTCTCTGTACTTCATCCTCCTGGACAAACAAAAGCGTAAGTATTAGACTTTGGTATTCTGCAGGCGCACGTCCCATTGTTGCCCCTGTCACAGCGCGGTGGGAGTAATGGAGGCTGTGGGGGTGCCTTGGGGGCAGTCCTCGCTGGTTAACATGCAAATGAATGGTTCTCTGGGCCTGAAAGGGTCACTCAGGTAAAACTGTGTGATAAGTCAGTGTCAGATTAATCCGCCATCAGTGTGTGTGTGGGTGGGTGGATGGTCAGCAGTGCAGCTGGACTCTTTCCTTTGAGCTACAATGTAAAAAAAAACACCTATTTTTCTACCAACAATTACACATAATAGTAATTGATTTGGGTAATTGCCAGTAGAGTATTTGGTGATTGTTGGAACAGAGGTAAAACAAAGACACTTTTAATGACTTTGAACATATTTTGTTCTGTTCAGTTTGAACAGTGGTGGGAAAGTATTGCAATTCTTTACTTGAGTGAAATTACTAAAAACCACACCGTAAAATACTACATTTCATGTAAAAGTACTGATTTGAGAATGGTACTTAAATTAAAGTTAATAAACATGATTAGGAAAATGTACTTTGGAGTAAAACTGCCCATTGCGGAAAAAAACTATTTTAAAGCAATGGCAGCAAATATTCACATAGCTGGAACTAAATATTTTTTAACACAAATTGTCTAGCACATTTTCTGTCTCTCATTGTTTGAGTTACTTAAATATAATTTTGGTTGGATTAATTTATAGTTTTTTTAGTGTAGTGTGTCAAATATCTGAGTTTATAAAGTAAAGTAAAGTAAATAAACTGAAAATACATTTAGTGCAGTAAAATGTAAAATATGGCTTCCAAAATGTAATACAGTAGAAGAATAAAGTAATATAAAATGAAAATACTTGGATAAAGTACCTCAAATGTGTACTACAGTAGCCTACTCACTTACTTTCCAACAATGATTTTGAATGTATTGCGTTTAACGAGATGAGTGAGGTAAAATGACTTTGTGTTAATGGAGTCTGGTGATCATATCAAATATATGTTTTGTACTTTAATAGATTATATAAAAAATGTCCACATCCCAAAGTAACATGTAAACCCTTGTGTTGTGTTTCATCCCTGCTGATCGGAGCTGGAGCTGATCAATACCGGGGCCGATGAAGAGGCTTTTGTCCCGGGAAAGAATGCAGATTGTCACTTTTCACACTGGAGACAAAAGCCTGATGTTAGTGGGTGGGTGGGTTTTTGTCCGGTGGGTAGGGGCCTTCAGTGGCTGCTACGCTGCCTTGTAACCCTGTAAACATGTCTGTTGTACATCAATCAAGCTCTATGAAAGAATTGAAACAGACAGACAGGAGATAGGGACAGACAGCCAATGGGGAGCCAGGGAACAAACACTGATGGTGATGGCCGGCCTGATGGTGTGGGTGTGTTTGGGGACGATCAATTTTGTATGATATCTTTTTTTATTTTATTGATATGCTCCCTGGGGAGGTAAATGCCATCATGGGCTGCACTATAGATGTCTGCTTTGAGGACGATTTATTGGTCTGGCATTTGATCTTCTGAGCTCACGGTGAAGGATGGGGAGATGGAATCATGGGAGCACCCATGGCCGCCCCCCACCCCCACCACCACTCAGTCCCCCACCCATGTCACCCTTTTTGCTCCTTCCATCATGTATCTGTCCCTTCTGCTGCCATACATCCCTCACTGTCTTGTTTACCACAGAAGTGCCTCATAAAACCCGGGAAGGTGTGCTTTTAAAGATTTTAAAGGTTTTACCCAGGGTTCTGTTGTGCTAAAAGCCGTATAAATGACGGTCAGAGGTGATGATTCCTGTCTAATAATGAAACGTTAAAGTAATGCAGCTACCAGCCTTTAATTAGCTAAGTAATCTTAGGAGCACACTGCTCTTTCTTTTATTCCCATTTTCAGTCTGAGCTATTTCATTAACAGCCGAACACATGTGTAACGCTCATTTAACGATGCACAAGACCCACATCCAATAAAGGGACTAGAAGGAAGGACAGACACGGAGAGTATAAATCAATTGCATATTTAATTTTACTCGTTAAATAAAGCACTTGATTCATATGAAATCTATATTCTCTTAAATGGGTGATGAATTAAAAAGGCGCAGGCGTCGCCATGTGGTGTGTGAGAATAAAAGACTCCACTGCAACAGGACAGGGAGAATATGAGAGCTGTAATTGGATATCTGGGAATTAATTTGTCTGGCGAACATACTATGAATCACATCAGGTCCTAAAACCCAGATGGAGCAGAGAGGGAGGACTGGCACAAGGTGGTGGAGATGATATTTCATATTTCATATCTTTCACGAGTCTGCACTGCCACCATGTGGGGAGGAAAGAGTCAAACTGTGGGACAGCTGGATTTATTTAGACATGCATACATGCAATGTTGTATTAAGTAATTAGGTATCTATGGAGGTGTGTGGCGCAGTGGATAGAGCCTTGGTGTTGGGATCAGGGGGGCACAGGTTCAAACCCCACTGCAGTCAGCATTTCGTTGTGTCCCTGAGACACTTCACCCCAAATTGCTCCTGTGGGCATTGTCCAGTACTGAGTATGTAAGTCACTTTGGATAAAAGCATCTAACAAGTAAAATGTAATGTAAGGTATCTTAATAAAGTAAAAGTAGCAATACTACAGTGTAAAAATACTCTGTTACAAGTCCTGCATTTCAAATACTTCTTACTTAAGTAAAAGTATTAGCACCAAAAAAATAATGTAAGTACTAACAGTAAAAATACTTTCTGTGCTAAATGTCCCATTGTAGAATACATCATAGATGGTTCAACTTAGTATTATTGCTTTTGAAAGTTGACATAACACACACACAACACATTTGCCAACGTTTCAGCAGGATATCTTAACCTATAATTATATATCATAGTTTATTTATTAGTTAATTTATATTTTAGTTTTAGCTAATCTGAATCTGTGAAGGTAGTAACTAATTTTGTCAAAATGTTGTAGTGAAAAAAGCACAGCATTAGGCTGCCAAATTGTAGTCGAGTAGAAGTTTAAAGTAGCATAACAAAAAAAAAAGTACCTCAAAATCGTACTTGAGTAAATATACTTCACTATGACACCACTGGCTACACTTGAGCTCCCCAAAGAGTGCCACCATTCAAATAAAAATGGCTTTTCAAACTATGAATCAAAGCTGGATGAATAGTAGAATTGATCTGGTCCCCCATAGGGAAACATGTGGAGAATAACTACTGTGGGAAGAAGGCTAACCACTCTGAACCGTGAAACCTGAGAACCACTTGGACGTGACTATTGATGAAACTCTATTTCCTCCTGAGACTCAGTGTGAAAGAATGCAGAGTGGGAGCGAGGCCTGGAGTCACCTTATCACTGACACCTCCTATAACCACATTTATGAAGACATTTCTTTGGCGCTTTCTACATAAATGTCAGTATTATAATCCTCAATAATCTCCACCAAGAGGGTGATGGAGGATGTTTGTGACAGTTGGAACTGCACGTTTCCCCTTTAGAGCAGGAATGTTTCTGTATGTTTCAGCAGCCATGCATCAGTGTGAAGGATGTAGCTGAAGCTAAAAGAGGATCATGCTCATTAATTATGCCCCAATGGCCTATTTAATATTAGAAAAGCCTGGTGATAGAGATGTCTTTGCATTGACATTGTTTTAGCCTCCTCAGGGTCTCATTCCTCTGTCTGTTAGTTCCCAGTGTCTCACACGTTTATGTAATGACATGTCTGTAGTGAAAACAGGAACACTGCATGACAACAGCATTGTGATAATTGTTTGAGTCTTATTGA